GTACTCCTTATTCATGTGGCGGGGGTTGATTTCTTTCTGAGCCCTGACGACTTCGAGCAATTTGCTGATCTATGGGCGTAAACCTTTCCCGTCGCTAGAGCAAAGCTAGTAAATTACCCAGACTAACCTCTCCAAAATAGCCGTCCAGGGCATGGCGTCCGTCTTGATAATGACCGCCGTTCGAAGGGTTGACGCCCGGGCCCGGGAGTCTTAATACAAATGGCATCTTCCGGCCGTCCTCACCGGGAACCGGCCGTCATTCGCAGAGCCCGACCGTCATTTGCAGGGTCCGGCCGTTATTCGTAGAGCCCGACCGTCATTCGCAGGGCCCGGCCGTCATCTATAGGGCCCGGCCGTCATCTGTAGGGCCCGGCTCACATCCGTAGGGCCATTTTCAGGTGAGACACCCACAGGGCCCGGCCGGCCGTCCGGGTAGTGGTTAGGACGGACCACAGGATAGGCGTCCGTCCAGGGCAGAGTTCCAGAAACCGGTGTCCGTCCCGCCCGAAGCCAAGGACGGACGGACTGGACGCTTGGGAAGACTGTGGTATATGGAACCGGTCGATAAGCGAAGTGAGATACATGAATAAATCAACAAGTTTGGAGCTAGTGCAATAACTTTAGACGGTTCATAGCTGCAGTCTTCATAAGCTAACGGGTGCTTAAGCGATTTTCCTTCCCATCGTGACGCTTGGGTATTTTATGGTGGAAGCGGCAATTCGGGACTCAAGATCACCTCACCACAATCCCAACTTAGTGAACCCTTCAGCTATGTCCCCAGTACTGACACCACAGAGAATCACTCGAAAACAAAGAATCTCTTGACTCACTGTTAGTCCCCCCTGCCACTGCCCACCCGACAACTGATAAAGCACACAAACCATTTGAAGAGCAAATCAGCACGATGAAGAATTGGTCGATCAGAGTTCCTCAAGCCTTGGATGGAATTTGGATGGGCTTAGTATCGTTTCGTTCTCCTTCAACTAGACAAGAGATGAAGTAGCCAATCCGGCAAAAGCTTTTGACCAATATCGGCGGCCCTAAGCACGGGCTGGTATTATACAGTGCCGGCTCGTTCATCCCTGACGGGGGTTTGCATGATGGTGGTGTGACCTTGCCCAGATCCCGAAAATTGGTGGGCTGGGGGTTTGGATTTAATGGCACAATTATCATCTAAGAGATCTTTGGATTCTCCGGCGGTTGAAGTATGCGCTATTTGTTGTTAGAGCATACAGAAACTAAAGATTTGGTCATGGGTTGTGAATCTCTTCCACGGTAACAAAAGCTCACCCAGTGGAAGCGGCAGGTGGTTAGGAGGGTTCGGTTTGAATGTAACTCATATATCACACATCCGAGTGACCAAATATCAACAAAATTCGTAAGTCTAAGGTTTCTCTATCGGCGTCCAACCCCGGAGCTTCGGGAGAGCTGCAGACCGGAGTTGGCACTTGGGTGTAAAAGGTTGTGGTGGCTTAAGCCGGGATCCGCTTTGGTATCCCGAACCCTCCTAGTTTGGCCTAAATGGGGAGCATAGAAACTACAAAGGTTTTGTCAAGCGAGGTCGTTTCCCAGAAGGATTATACCTCAGGCTTTAGATCCCGATGAGCCATCCCCTGTTGATGCACCACTTCGAGGCTCTCCAGAATCTGCTTTGAAATATTTCGAACTGTTTTTTGTGGCGCGGTGTACCGATATACTTGGTGAGATCCCCTTCCCCTAGTCATTCCATAGTAATATACGGAGTTTCGGGTTCCTCGAACCATCCCAAGATTTCCACAAATAATGATGGACTCTATAACACCCGGCCATTAGACCACAGTGGGAAAATCCCATTCGGGGTGGTAAACCGGGGTGAGGCCCCTTCAGGTTGAGAACGCAAACCTTTGCCAATAGGGCCATCACCAGGAGCTCCCTAGAATAATCGAGCCCGGGAGAACCCTCATATTATTCGTCCCCGCTATGCAATAGTGGCCGGTAGTTTTCTGGATCTGCTTCTGGACGACGACGAAAGCTCCCTTGCCGAGTTCCCAAAATTTCTCCAATCCTCCTTCACCTCCTTTTCCCTATTTTTCGCTTCCTCCACATATCTTGTGTCTGACGTGATCATTGAAAGAATTCCTACTCAAGTATATATCAGACAACCATATCCGACTGAGGCCCCGCCATGTGTCGGATTTGAGGCTCTTTAAGATCTGAATAAGCTCAATATTAGTAAAAACAAGAGAAAATACATGGCGGGAATGTCCGTAGCTAGTGAGAGGATGGAAGAGGGAATTCGTGAATCAAGCAAAGAGTGGAGAATTTCGCCCCTAAAATGCCAACTATCTCACCAGCCTAGAGAAAGAAAGAAAAAGACCCTCGGGCAGCGCCGATATATACCCACGCACGTGGACCGGAAGTGGTAGGGGGATGTGCCACTGCCCCCAACCCATTATGATTGGCCTTCCCGGGTTCGTCCACGAGTGATCACCTGTGATCCGTCTACAGCATCCGGAACTGGTGGTGCCCATAGGAAGGGTTTTTGGTGTTCCAGCGACCATGTGCCTTTTTACCAAAATTTTCTGATCAAGATTCCTGTATAACTAGACGAATGAGCACCATGACCTACATACTTGAGGATAGGCGTTGGCGACGAAACAGCCCATCGAGAGGGTTTTAGGTGTCCCGGTACTTAAGTTGCTTTTACGAGGGATATCTTCCCAAGCCGAGCCTTACGGTAAGCCTATTCAATACGGTAGACTTAGCAAGAAACTTTTTAAGCACTATCGAACATAGTTATGTCGAGCACTAATGAAAAAGTTGAAATAGAAATAGAAAATCCAAACTCCCACTTCCTTTGGCTTTTTTTCTTCTCAGCCTAATCGCTGTGTTATTTATTATTTTAATATAAATTTGCAACGGCGAAGCTATCCATTGTAAAGGTTAATTTCACTGTCCAAAATAGTTTTTTTGGTTCTTATCTGGTTCGAAAACGGTGTGTTTCTGATTCTATGTTGCGCTAGGATTTATCTGCAGGCTTCAGGTTACTTTTGAAATTAATCGGGCCGCTTAAGGAATAAAAAGACCGCTGACAGTGTGTGAATAGACGGTCGCTGCAACGTAGCGTCTTCTATCTGACTGGTTTCTTCGGGCACCGTAACTCGAGCCCTCCAGTTTCCACAATACATGCATGATACAGTACCAGGTATCTGGGCAGATCTGTACTCCTATTGGCTGGCTCCCTGATTTTCCGGACCACCCCGAGGAAGGTGTTCACTCTCCGCTGCGCCAAGAGCTCTCTTCCTGATTATGTAATTCCTTTTGGCGGGGAAATTTCCTGGGGCATCCGAGTTCCCATGAGGTTTGTTAGCGACAACGGGTTTTCTGCTATAGGAACCTAATAGAGAGGTGCCGGTAGACTATGTTTTCAGCTCCCTATCGACGAGCTTAGTACTGTGCTCGTGCTGTAGACTACCCGATGGTGCGCTAAGTGATGAGAAAGATAGGTAGCGAGGACCACCGCCGCCTTCCGATAAGTCAATTATAGGTTAAACCTTTTTTTTTTTCAGCCTGGTACACATTTTAGACTTCCCGAAATATTGTCCGTCATACGATTCCATCCAAGGTTTCAAAATCTCACAGCCGAGCAATTACTTTCAGGAGTCACAAGCCCGGATTCGATAATGTAAATACAGGCAGGACGGTACTACAGTCGTGATCGATCGTTCTGGGACTTAGCATAGTTTTTTTTTTTGATACAACTTCCCGACTGTGCCTTCCCTAACACCAGATCTATCCCTCCAAATATAATACCTATATGCCCTTCCCGTCAATCGCTAGTATTGTTTTCTTAGAGGTTGTCTTTGCGATACATATACCTATAGCTAGAAACCATTGTATGGCAACCATGCGTGTAAACCGACTAAGACGAATCATGCCCTCAAAATGCATCGTGTAGGTGTATTCTGAACTCAACCACGGTTTGGAGTTGAGTAATCATCGTCCTAGCGGTGCTTCAGTCTGATCTGTGCTTATATACTAGCGGTTTCCGTTCGGTCGGGAGCCCCGATTTTCCCGGCGTTGGGGTTTGAGAAAGCATTAGTGTATTGCCTAGGATTCCAGCAATCATCAGAACTCCAGCCAATACTAGCATTCTTCTTAGGGCTCCAGCCGGTATTGGGGTTCTGTCCGAGGTCGGATCCCCATCATGCGTTGGGGTTTCATCCAGTATTGGGGTTTTGCATTGGATTGATGATCGTGTCCTAGTTTCTGCTGCCCCCCCTACATTGGGTATTAATGGCGGGGCTGGGCGAAATCTTTTCCTCTGAAGTGCCCGGATGGTCTGCCCCGAGCCTGCTCTTCCTAGTAGGGTAGGCTCTCCAGTCGGAAATTCTTTCAGCAGGTTCATCGGGGAAGGGAGTGGGTGGTCTGTACTCTGGGGTGCACTCCATCGAGCCATTTGTCCCCGGGGTTGATTAGAGACTATTTCTACCGAGAAGGTTTGGCGTTGAGGGATCGCTTGAGGGAGGTCTGGGAGTCAGTAAGCAATTCTTGTCAGAAACCCGTTTTATATGTGTATGCTGGGTAGAGCCTGGTATTCTGGGTGTCACCTTGAGGATTCGTTTGTGGAGCATCGCCTATTAGTCCCACCCCCACGTCTCGGTGCCCTTGGAATCGATCGGGTGGAAGCTGTGGGGTGCCGATTGCGGCCCCAGGGGCTCCACCCGAGTCAGTGAGCCCTCAATAGAGGGTGCACCTGGCGGCATCATAGAAGAAGTGACAATTACGGATTTCGGGGTAGTAGGATCACAACCCCTAGAGGACCCCGCCTTCGCCCCGAAAGCCACATCTCCTAGGGTATACTCTGTGTCGCCATGGGTAACCGGGTTTCCACCTCTCCTTCTTTTGTTCGACTTGCCACCAGTGACTGGTTTGTTTTCGCTCTTGTTGCTTTCGGTTGCCCTGGCCCGACTCCGGATCACCCCGTCGTAGTAGTCCCTTCCATTTTTGTTGTCACTCTTAAGACCCATCAACCACGCATGGCGCAGTGCACCTCCCGCCGTAGGGCGATCCTCGGGTTGTATTGCGAGCATAGATTCCAGTAATAAGACTCCGGCATCATCTGTTGGGGGCGATAGCCCTCTCAATTTATCTTCGGGAAATCGCCACTTCCCCAAGTAGTACCGTAATACTTGACAGTCCGAGACGAATAGCCTTTCCCCTACAAGTAGCTCATATATCACACATCCGAGGGACCAAATGTCAACAGAGTTCGTATAATCCGAGGTTTCGCTATTGGAGTCCAAACCCAGAACCTCGGGAGCGCTATACATAGGAGTCGAGACCCGGGTGTGGAAGGATGTTGTATCCTGAGCCTGGATCCGCTTCGATATTCCGAAATCCCCCAGTTTGACCCAGACTGGAGACATAGAAACTACAAAGATGTTCTATACACCCGTTAGTATTCTGCCATGCGATATGGTCAAACAGGGTGTTTGACGGTAATAATCATACCGCCGGCTTTAGGTCCCGATGAGCTATCCCCTGTTGGTGCATTATTTCTAGACCTTGGAGTATTTGCTTTGAGATATCACGGACGATTTCTTGCGGTAGCGATCCGCCGCGATGCCCGGCAAGGTCGCCTTCCTCGAGATATTCCATGGCAATATATAGAGTCTCGGGCTCCTCGAACCATCCCAGGAATTCGACGAATAATGACGGCCACTAAAACAGCTAAAAATTAGACCGCGATACGGGATACGATAGGTGTGACAAACTGGGGAGCAGCCATTCATAAGCGAGAACACGAACCTTTGTCAATATGGCCATCGCAAGGAGCTCCCTAGAATAATCGAACTCGGTGGCCGACCTCTTCACAATCGTCTTTACTGCGCGATACTGGCCAGTAGCCTTTTGGACCTGCATATCGACGATGCCGAAACCTCCTTTGCCGAGTTCCCCGCAGTTGCTCCAATCCTCCTTCACTTTCTTGTTGCCATTTTTCGCCTTTTCCACGCATCTTGTGTGCCGGACATGGTCCTGAAAGAATTCAGTCTCGAGTTTATACCGCATAACCAAATCGGATTGAACCTTGTCCATGGGTCGAATTTGGGGCTCGTTGGGTCCCGAATCAGGCTAAAGAAGTGGATAGTCAAGGCTAGAATGACCGAGGCTAGTGAGAAGAATGAATGATGTTTTTCCAACAGGCGGAGAGTGCTGTAAACTTATATTTCTCCCGTCTATCAAAAACTGTAAGCTGTGACCGGTTACCAATAGCGAGAGCGCCCTACCGGTGGATTGCCATTTTTCGGGAGGTAGGGGGCCTTCGATCCGGAATCTTTTAGCTTGGCGTGCATAAATTTATGCACGCACGAGGGGCTGGAAAGGCCGGGGGAGGGGTGCCCCGCATTGGCATCTCACCCGTTCCTCTGAATGCGACCAAACAAACTTAAGGATAGAACGCCATGTGTGGGGGCCAGGGTCATCAGATTGTGCGGCAGGCAGGCAACCTTGAGTCGGGTCGGTATCGGAAACACCGGTTTGTGATGTACTTGTACAAGTAGGACGCTCTTTTCGTTTCTCACAGCCTCGATTAAAAAATCCAAGGCGGTTGCAACATTGCTTCACTGCAACCCAACATGTGCTAGGCGAGCAGTTGCAAAAACTCTCATCACACTTGTAAACCTCTAGATAGTTCTAGGCCAGATCCAGCTCATAGTTCAAAGACCATATCGCAGTCTTTCAACTTCCCAATCTTAAAAGTATACCCGGATCCTTAAACACTGCTTAAGCTCATAAACTAGGTTTTAATTTTTTTTTCCCTTCACTAAGGCTCCTTTTTCCAATCGCCTACGGCCGCCACCAGATATGATTTCCTAGTCACGTGCCGCTAGATCTTTGTAGATCGTGGGTTCGATGCTTGGGCACTAAGATTGAAATAGCCTTCAGCATGCTTTCTTCGTTCTTCCCCAAACATTTTCGTGATTTTTACGAGTCCCGGGGCCTCTGGTGGTGGTCTGTTCTTTTGGAAATTCCAATAGGAAAATAATTGTTGCTTCGCTTTGCCAAGCACCTCTTAGATCTGCCCCGAGGCTTTGAACCTCGTATTACACAAACTCAACAGGGACTTTGGCACGCTTACCGATTCCACCCATTCCTTCCTTGTAGTTCCTCTGTTTTGCTGGCACGTCATATCACTTGAATCCGAAAAGGGCTACTCTATACCGACAATTCTGAGGATTTCCCCCCAGTAAGTTATCACGTTAGTTTTTCTTGTTTTCTTTTTTTACTTTTTTTTTTTACGTCAAGAAGCCACTATGTTCCACTCACATAATACGAGTAAATACCATCACATCAGCTTTTAAGATAGGTGGACTGCCTCTCGCTAACTACCCTACCGGTACTCTACAACACATAAAAGGTGTCCGTGCAGTGTACTGTACCGGTTACGCACTACCCGAAGTAAAATGGATCTGTTCTATCTCATCCTATCCCAGGGGTCTCCTCCAAGAATTTTTTCTCTAGACAGGTGGTAATCCTTCGACTTCCAAGGCAAAGCCTGATTGGTGCACCCTAATTGATCCCCTTTTAAATGCCCTGCTGGTACCATACTAGGCAAGAGGCATGTTCCGGGTGAGCAGGCATCCAAACAAGAAAAGCTAGTTTTGAGTGTCCAGCACATTTCGCCATGGATTGTTCATGGAATTTTTCCGATTATAGAATTTTAGCTCGAGAGCCGGTACAGGAAGGCTTGGCTTGGTTGGGTATCGCTGAGGTTATTATTATCGCGGCACAGCCAACAAACGTGTATTACCCAGAAATATTAGTTACTGTGGATTTACTTGGTTTAGTGGCGCTAGTATCCATGTAGGTTGGGGGTGGGTTCGGCCGTGGTTCCGTCGATACAATCGAAGGGTTAACGTAGCCCACGGCGAGTCGGAACTCACGGTGACTTGAAACAGCCTAAGTAAAAAGTACCCTTAGTAAGCAACAGCTAGTGTATTTGCCACTTGTTTCGTATCACCGTGTATTTCGGCTCACCGTGGGATACGTTAGATAATGGGTTCCCCCCTGGAGAGGAGGGTACCGGTATGCTACTGTGCAAGTACTGTACAGGCAGCCTGGGCGCGCTCTCCCACAACATCCAAATGATAGCTCTCTGTGCAGGGAGGGATGCGGCTAGACACCAAGAGTATGACTTTGCATTGCAGATGGCGACGCATGAGAAAAAGTGTGATGATGCGACTTGGCGCCAATCGCAGATCCCCCTTGTAAAATATTCCCGGACGGTCGGTTTGGCTCCCCCACCCTGAGAGAGTGGGTTTGGGCACCAGAATTACCCCCGGGCGCCTGATACTGGTGCACCTTGGCGCCAAGAGCAGACCCTCCGTGTAAATATTGTTGGTAGACCAGATCTCGGAAGCAGTGAGAAAGAGGGGGCTATGGTAGGCTCCCTACCGATATAGGGGTAAGTAACAGGATAACATTAGAGCCATTCGCAACCCTATCTCTCTCCGACGGCACGGTTTTACCGCGACGCCAAGCGCACTTGAGTAAGTGGACTCGGCAAGCCCAGTGGCTTGGTAACACAAATATCACGAACCTCCCCCCATCACAACTCTCTGGCCAATGTACTGCTCGCGGTTAGAGCATCACCGGTGCATTTCCGGACGTGCAAGTATTGAAACCGTATGAAAGGGACGTTCGACTGGATAGGGTTAATTGCCACTATCTTGTCTTAGGGCGCGTCTGGTCCTCCGGACCCTTTCAAACCTTGATAATCACAAAACCTGATTTGCAGGCTGCAACTGAAATAATCGCAAGTTGTTATAATTGGGAGTTTTCACACTCCCAGAGGTGTGTCTGGTTGCCTAAAGAATCAATTCCAAAAAGGTCACTCAAAAAAGTCAGAATAATTAATGTGCAAAACACATTGGCACCTGTATTTCAATACTTATTTTTTTAATTTTTTTACTCCACTATTGGTAGTGGGAGTGGGTTATTGTAGCCAATGCATGCCACTCCAAAATGAGAGTTTGTGAAATACTGGTCAGACCAGTATTTCAGAAACCTTCATTTTGACATCATTATTGCGTTTTGAATATTGTGTTTTGGTGTCGACCAGACATGCCACTCAGAAGCAAAATAGCATTTTGTGACAAACCTTCATAACCGGGGTCAAAATTAAGGTTTGAGGTGGCAACCAGACGCGCCCTTAATATATTAAGTCGGTGTCAAAATTAAGGTTTGAGGTGGCAACCAGACGCGCCCTTAATATATTAAGTCGGTTCAAAAGTGGAGTTAGATACGTCAACAGCACGACAATCTTGTTATGATACTACCGCTTTAACTCTTCATAAATATGTTTTTTATAAATTCACAAACGCGGCAGTGTCCGAGCGGCTTTCATGTTCACCGTGGTATGCGTGCCTACTATTGTCGCCGGGAAAATTCGGGGTATGAGATCATCTTTCTGGAACCCTAACCTGATAATATCTTTTAGTTCTTTATTATCATCATCATGATTAATCACTCGATCTCTAATATTGGAGCTCACAATCAACCCCCACAACTTGCCACCGTCTGCCCGACCACTAATGAGGTAAACAGATCGTCTGAAGGGAAAATTGACGCAATATGGGGTTTGAAAACCGTGGGTGGAAGGAAAACGGATGTGTTCAAGACCGGCCCGTTCCCCTTCAACCGACCAATTGTTAAAGTGAATCAGAAGTGGGGAAGCTTTGAGTAATATTAACTGCCCCGAGCTCCTCAGAAGCCCTACGGCAATCCACGGGAGTGTAGTCCGGGGAACCCAAGCATAGCGTCTGGTGATGTAGGGTAAGAATGTGCGTCCCTTGGAACAACTGGCCTCTAAAAGGGTGATGGGTAGTACCCTCTGTCTTCCAACCCTCAGTCACCATCCCTGGCTATTTTTATAGACTCTCTAATCCCATAGGGACCCACAAACTCTGCCATTCCATCACCGGCGGGGTTCTGGTCGAGCTGGGTAATACCCTTCCTGCCGGAGACTTTTGGCCTAGTTGATTGGGTTTTAAATTCGTGCGATCAGCAGTTATCAAAAAGGCGCATTGGGCATCCCTGGAGTTGAAATTAGATTGAATTTATGGTTGGGAAATTTGGGTTGGGTTGCTGGCCTTATCTATTATAAAAAAAAGTCTGTCAGGGGTAAGGGATAAGTTAGGTGGTGAGGTAGATTTGGTTCTAACGGCACCGGGAATTCATACTAATCAGCGCTGGTATGATAGCCTAGAATTACGGCCCATCCTAAACCCGTCCTATTACCATCTAGGGTGTGAGGATACCTGCTTAAATTAGCATTTAGAGGTCAGTACTACACCTGTGCCCGACTTCCACTTGGCAGGCCAGACCCGCGACAAATAGCCTCCCCTAGAGTAAAATCTCAAACAATTGAACCAAGGACTGCGTAGTTAGATCTGTAAACTCTGCTATAATAAGGTCTGGTATTTTCTCGCATCCCCCGTTGCTCCAGGGGGCCGAAGGACCAATCTTTTGCTGTAACCCCCCCCCAATTAAGTGAACTGTTCGCTATCTGGCAGCCGCCGGTTCAATATAATCCCTGGTCCGTAGCCACACAACCCTATTATTGAGCTCATTACAAAACAACCTATTCCTAAATGGGAAAACTCGTGAACCGCGAAAGGGTCTCGGGGGTGGAGCACGGGGGTCGAGTGACTTCTTGTAGGAGTTTCGGCGGAAAGGTCTTGGGCGGAAGGAGTAAAAAAATACCCTGTGCTTTAGAACAAGACATCGCACAAGTATGAGTGGTAGACTTTGGTACGCCTGGCAAATATCTATTTGCCCAAAAACATTCAAACTCCAATCTCAAAGCGCAGAAACATAAATTATCTTCGGGACTCTAAACCTAGAGAACTCGTTCTGCTTAAAACAAAAGCAGGCAACCACAACAAGCTTTCCAATATCCTACTACGGAACGAACCCTCTTGGGCGCAGTAAGAGAGAATTTTATGGTAAATGGGGGTATAGTTGCATCAAAAGCGAAATTGATCCTTCTAAAACCTAACCCAAATGTTCTTACCACTTTACTGCCCTGCCCTCCCTGATGTGCTATCTATTCCTGCTTCCCTTTAGACCCATCCTTCTGCCCCCGGTATCGCTTCCTCGTTCCTGTTTGTATTCAGATACCGGCGGCCTGAGCTCCACCAGAGAATGGGCCTTGTCCAAGAATTCGATATCCTGCAATGTTTCCAAGCAGAATTAAGATTCCAGCCAGCATTAGGGCTCCGGTTAGAATCCCCACCAGCATTAGGGTGCGGCCTGCGACTCCAGAAAGTATCAGGGTTCCAGCCAGCAGTAGGGCCAAACCCCTCATTACCGTTTCACCCGGGACCAAAATTTTGGATTGGGTTAACATTTGTGCTAATTTGGCTTCCTGCCTTTTTCCCATTTGTCCCAGTGATTGATCGGAGGCTATCTCCACGGCGGGGGTCTGGTGTTGGGGGATCGCATGTGCGAGGTCTGGGAATCAACAGCCAATTCTCGTTAGCAGGATGTTTTATATGTAGGTTGGATCTGGTATTCGGAGGTGCTACCTTGGGGATATGTTTGGGGAATACTGGCGATCTGTCCTTCCCCCACCTCTTCGATGCCCTTAGAGTGAGCCTCTCGGGAACCGTGAGGCATTAACTCAGACTCTAGGGGCCCAATCCATCTCCACAGGCCCGTAACAGCCGCTACATCTTGTGGTGTGGTGGCAGGAGAGTTGAGTGAAGGCGTTAGGGTAGTAGGATCACTCCCTCTTTGCGACCCCTGGTTGGACTCCAACGACGCACCCCCTGGGGCGCTCTTCGGGTCACCCCGAGTGATCAGGTTTCCTTCGCTTCTTTCTTTCTTTGATTTGCTGTGGGTAGCTAACATGTTTTCGTTCCTCTTGCCCTGGGCGCTCACACTCCGACCTCGCGCTACCTCACCCCGATCACCTCTAGACCGCTCACCCTCGCTCTTAAGGTGCATCAACCACTCATGGCCTAGTGCGCGCGGGGCTGTAGGGCGATCCTCGGGTTCAATTGTGAGCATGGATTTCAGTAATGAAATTCCGACATCGTCTGGCGGGGGTGATAGCTCTTTTAATTTATCCTCCGGAAACGGCCATTTCCTAAAGAAGTAAAGGTATATTTGGCTCTCCGAGGAGAATAACGTTGTCCCCGCAAGTAACTCAAATACCACACACCCGAGTGACCAGATGTCGACAGAATTCGTGTAGGCGGAGGTTTCACTGTTGGAGTTCAGTCCCAGCACCTCGGGAGCACTGTACATTGGAGTTGACACTTGAGTATGAAAGGTTGTCGTATCTTGAATCCGGACCCGCTTTGATATTCCGAAATCCCCCAGTTTGACCCAGACGGGAGACATAGAAACTACGAAGATGTTCTTTTCACTAATTAGTCTTCTGCGATTCGGTGTTGTCAAGTAGGGTTTTTTTTTGCTGTAAGGTCCATACCGCAGGCTTTAGGTCCCTATGAGCGATTCCCTCCTCATGCATTACTTCGAGACCCTCGAGTATCTGCTTTGTAATAACTTGAACCGTTTCTTGTGGTAGCAGTGTGCCGACATGCTTGGTAAGATCGCCTTCCTTAAGATATTCCATTGCAATATACAGAGTCTCGGGCTCCTCGAACCAACCCAGAAACTCCACGAATAACGACGGACGCTAAAAGAGCACACGATTAGACAGTAACCCCGTAAGGGCAGCAGGCCGGGCCTTTGGGAGCGGGGAGCCAAACCTTTGCCAATATAGCCATCACAAGAAGCTCCCTAGAATAATCGAACTTGCTGTGCGACCTCTTACCAATCGCCTTCACTGCACGATAGTCGCCTGTGGCTTTCCAAATCTGCTTGTTGACAACACCGAAACCTCCTTTGCCGAGTTCCTCACAATTGCTCCAGTCCTCCCTAGCTTCCTTATTCCTAATTTTCGCATCCTCAATATATCTTGTGTGTCGGACATGATCCTGAAAGAAGTCCGTTTCGAGTTTATACCGTGAAACCAAATCGGATTCGGTCTTGCTCATGCCTCAACTTTGAGCCCTCCGGAGCCCTGAACTCACTCTGAACAGTCGAAAAGGTCAAAATGGGGGCCGGGAGTACCAGGGTTTGAGAGAAGAGGGAAGCGAAGTGAATTTAGCGGAAAGGGATGTTAGGTTAACTTATCTCCCTCGTGGGGAAATATTCTCGGGCAGGGCCGACACTTATACCGAGGCCAGAGAAGGATACCGCCTTATTTCCCCTCTCCCCACTCCTAATCTCTCCAGATTCGAGTCCTGACCATACTGAGCAGAATAAATTAGATTATATAACAATCCCTACCCTCTAAACAACTTTATCTGTCCTGCACTACATTTCGGCATAGCAGCGGATGCCAAGAGTTTCGGAGCTGTCACTGGTTATGGAGGGGTTTGTGGAGGGGGAAAATCTCGGACGGGGAGAAATAGTTAGGGAAACTGGAAGGGTCTGGTTGAGCGGGTCGAGCGCTCGCATCGCAGTCTTCTGCGACGTGAGGCGATGTGACAGGTTGACTTTGAGCACTGGAGGCTCTTTGCCTGGAATTTGGCAACCAATTCCCTAACGGGGCGCGTAGCCTGGTTTCTGGGAAATCCCGATGCAGCGCTTTAACCGACAAAAACCGGGTAACCCCTCTAAAAGCGAACGTTTGGTTGGTGGGATTTCGGGCTGGAATGCCGCCCTCCCCATAGCCGTTCTACGGGTTAGAACGGACAAGGGTATGATAGAAAAAAGAGCAGGGGACCAGGGAAAGGAGGGTTCCCCCCGAGCCATCAACAAAAATTTTGAAATATCATACCATGAACTGTACGGTAAACTAAGCAACTCCCTGTACCATAGCCAGGAACGACGGCAACCATTCAACATCCAGAGTTTCCCTTGCAACACTCCCACAATCGTCCTCACCCGTATCCGGAAATCTTGGCGGCCTTCACGGCTAGGAAACCCCAAAATTTCCTAGTGCATTTACAACAAGCAACCGGTGAGTGGGTCCAGGCGCTGAAGATCACAAGAAATAAAAGATTGGAGCAGGATAGGGGGTTGTCTGGGACGACGATTTGGTTTTCAAAACACAGTTTAAAATCACGGTTTGGACGCTTTAACCAAGGTTACCATGGGAGTAACTTCAAGCTGATATAGGATTAACTACTATGATAATCCAAGTTAAAGTTGCCAAGCTTCCATCTCAAGTCGCCATTTGAAAAAACAACTGTGCTGCCAAATAGCCCCTATATATTTGCTTCTGTTATACTCGATTGTCTCTTTCTCTTGTATTTTGGGTTCAATTTTGGAGTACCATACCGGTATTATAGTTTGGAGCCTAGAATAAATGAAGCGGTGTCCCGCTAGTAGTTTTTGCTTGTCTCATAGACCCAGCAATACTACCCCTGGCTACGGCGGGTCATGTAGACATCGAGTGCAAAAAAACTTAAGCGAGGTGTTGGTAGCAACCCAAGGCCGGGTAACCACACCCACAATACTTAGGATACCCACACCCGCAAAATTAATTGAAGAGAGAGAGAGAGAGGTATACATATTGAGGGTAGTTGATAAAATAATAATTTATAAAAATATGACTTCAATATTGAATAGCTTATATGCATAGCCGAAGCGAAGCCAGATATTTTGTATAGAAGTTGACGTCTTAGGTATTCAGCTCCAAGTGCAAACTAGCGATACAAGTATACTAAAGGAAAATATAAATATAATAACCCCCAATTTCAATAGTTTTCCATAATGTTATAAGAGTAAAAATAGAAAATAGTATAAATCATGTAAGACTAGTGAAGGTTGATAAAATGATTTGAAAATGATAAAAAATAAATGACCAGTTTAGTAATGACCATTCTGTTCTATTTATCCGTACAAATTGCCTCATACTATTTGTGAACAGCTATTTTGTACTAGATATGAGTAAAACAGAATGGTCATTACTAAACAGGCTCTAAAAGAATAGAGAAAAAAAATCAAAAAAAAAGTTAGGAAAAAGAATAGAAAGTTAGGAAATAAACAGCATAAAAACAAACTTTAAAAAATAAAATAAAAAAAGAGAATAATATACGCTAGCCCTTTCCTGCTACAATATACTGTTTCACATACTAATCAATTTTATCTACCTCAGAATTAATATTCCCTATAATAGTAAGTATATTGCTAGTAATAGTAATAATTTTAGGAGCCATACCACTAGGTTTTCTTTTTAGATCCTGAGTTGATTGAATTGAAATACCTTCTGGAGAAAGTATTGTCAAGCTTCTCTTACGGCCTAATGTGGATTTCACATTAAGAGTATGTTTAGGAGTTGTTGGCCGTTCGGTATCGTTATGAGATAGGTTTTCAGAAATTTGAGTAGAGGAAGCACTTATGGTCGACTGAGGTAGTATAGGAGGAGGAGTATCTTCTTGAGTTATTGATCCACTTCGAGTAGTAGTATCTGCATCATCATCTGTTAAATAATAAGAAATTATTCTCATAAAATCTAGTAAATAAACATACCATCTTGTTCTAAGGGATCTGATATTTTATTACTATCGGTTGCTTCCTCCTTGATGAAAATTTGCGAGTGAGTTTCATCATGATCATCTGAATCGTCACCAATGGTACGAATATGAACTGTAATCGCCATTCGAGTTATTGGTCCTAAAGTACGTATACTCTTTCTAGCTGACAGTTGCGTTTGTATTCCAGTAAGGCTTTTTGGATTATCAGTTAAGCAAAGCAGGTCAGTAAGAATACCACCACCCTGAAGCGAGTTTGCATTTGGAGCAACACCAGTTGTTGTTCCATCCCAAAAGCCTACACAAATCGGTAATCGTGGATGAAGTTCAAAGCTTTTAATATTTGGATATCCTAACCAGGCAGGATGTTGAAAAACAATATTTTTAAGATATTGTTGCCAGTCAGGAATTTTCTCAGTTCGAATAAATTCCATTAGAGTTGGTGATCCATGAAATCCAACCTTCAATCCACGATGGTAGAAATAAAGTCCAACAGATCGTTGAATTGGTTTGATTGAGGTACTTAGAGTAGTGAGAGTATTGAATTTTCCACGAGGTGCAGACTCTGAATGATCTTTGGTTGAACCAATGCGTTGACATTGGAACTTGACTTCAGCAGAGACTTGTGTTGAACGAGGGATATGGTATGAGCTTGATAATGACATTGAACTTGAACTGGAGGTAGTAGGATTATAGCTCGAGACTGGAAATCCTTTTGAATATAATTTGTATAAGTAAAGTCATTTGATTATTAAGGATGAAGAAATATTACTTACGACTTGAACTTTGAATAACTTCAACCTCATTATTCTCGTGAGTGAGATGAACACTTATTGGATGATTACATCCAATACAAAGAGCAGTATTCCCACGCATAGGTAGGATTTGACGACAAGTACACGAATCAACTTGACAAGTTGACATAATTTATAGAAATGTGGTAGAAGTAAAGGAAAGGTAAAAAAGTATAAAAGAGAAAGGTAGGTATGCGAATTTGTTGAACTTTGAGAGATTAAAGAGCAGATAAAAATTTAATAGAGAGAAAGAAGTAAAGCTTTATAGAAAATCTTAAGCTTATTAAATTGAAAGAAAAAGTCGTGTATCATGATTATTATTATCATCGCTAATATCAGAATATGTATCGTGTGAATACAACTCAGCATCTATTAACTATTTTTAGCAAGTTACTTATTTTATAATACTATTCAAAGTAGTACTTACCTGGTGAGTTAGTATCATGCATAAAATTTTTATTATTAGAACTTGTTGACTCAGTTAAGTCTGAACTATGTGTTGTGCTTAAAATCGTATTTGCTATCGTAGTCTGTGGAGTAACTGAGGGGGAGGCAGTTTCCTCCTCATCATCAGTTGGGATTAGTTGCATCAGTTGATCACCTGCAATACCAATAACTTGTCCACGATGGACTTCGATCTCATGACTTTGGTGTGCAGCAATCCATTCGCTAGCGCCAACTGGCTGTAATGATAATTGTACCTCATGATCAAGTGTAATATAGTCTGATACACGATCACGTAAATAGAGGTACGCCTCTCTATGATGTGGATCACTATAAGAAAATTCATCAGGATATCCACCTTCATCAAGAAATCCTTGATAGAGAGCAAGGGTAGATATTGGTAAGTATTCGTCAAGATCAAATTCTGAAACCTCTGCTTCTAAGGCTGCAAGTAGGCTTTCGTTTACTTTTTCCTTATAATCCTTTCCACTTTCTGGATAGTAATATAGGAGAAAGGGTTGTCCAGTTGGTAGATAGTGCTCCCGCTTACGCTGAAGTCGAATAGGATGAGAGTTATGAATTTCAACGAAGCGATGAATATGTGATCGAATAATTTTCATGTAGAGAAATTGTAAGCATGACTTATCCAAATCACCACCATTGAAATATCCATCAGATTCCAATTGAGCAAAGTAAACTTTCCATGCTTGCGTTTGACCTTCGGTTAAGATATTCCACCAAGCTTCAATACGTTGATTCTTAGTTGATTTTCCATAAGAGTATGCTTTCTCAAATGGAAGATCAGGATGATTAGCTCTTCGTAAGCTGAGGTGAGACTCTGCTAAAAGAACAGTTTCACTTCCTATAAATAGTTTTTTTAGCCTATTATAATCTAATAGTATAAGGAAATAGCGATAAATTAATAAATTAAACTTGCCAACTCACCTTTATCTGAGCGAATTACTTTTGGCATATGTAATGTGGTACGTAATAGACAAAGATACTGCTTGTTGACTGAAACTGCAGTTCGATTTGAAATACCAACATAACACCAGACAATATACCTTGAATATGCATCAATTGCACCATAAATTTCGAATCCAAATCGTGACAACTTATCATGACCATAAATTGAAAGAATTCGATTTGGTCCTTTAATTGAAAATTCTCTCCGTTCTCTTGTATTGCCTAGAAATCTTCCACGTTCTGCAACACCTTCTGGATCAACAGTTTTCATAGCAGCTTGTATTTGATGTCTAAAGTTAAAAATAGTAAGTAAATATTTCACTAGATAAATATTATATTAAGTATTAGAAAAACTTACTGTGAGAGAAAAACACCACTTAATCGAATATTATTAAGTGTATACTGTCTTCCATACTGAATTGCCTGACCAGAAATTAAATGTTCACGAACATAGGTTTCTGCCTGTATTGCTGCCTCTAGTCTTGCCTCTGGAGTATGAGCTGTTCCTATAAGTAATCGTAGATCAGGATGTAGACGGAGATTTTTGAGTTGGGTTGGTGATAAGTGCCAACCATCATATTGTAAGCATCGAAGAATATTTGTAGAACTTAAGTTTCTTGCCCATAGCTCTTTTATCTTCTTTACCAATTCAAGATCATGATGTAACGATTCCTGTTTTTTTGTAAATTCCCATTCTGCAAACTTCATCCAATATGCACGCAAACTATAGTACTGTTAGTTTTTTCTTGCCAGAAAATTATAAATTGAAACAAGTTTTATAATTACCTACCTTGGTGTAAAGTTATATCTCGTTGTCATTTCTACTATAATATCCTTCAAATGCATCCTGTGTAAAAGATACATATCTGCTAACTTTTCACGATGTTCATCCCAGTTATAAACTCGCGGCATTGTTGTTAAGAATAAAAAAAGAGCAAAAATAGATAAGAAAAAAAAAGTAGATGCTGTCGAGAGAAATACAGGTAAAACTATTAAATAAATGTAAGTATATTTTCAATTAATCAAATAGATAGAATATAGCGCAATACTTACTAGTAATAATATATCAATAAAATATCATAAATTGATATAGAAAGACCGTTGTATAATATCAGTTTAAAAGAAATAAGAAGTAACTTGAAGATAGAAGATAAATAGAAAGAATCAAGACTGCTGGGAACATGACCATTTGAGTGTGGTTTTGTTGAAACCTACACATTGGTTTTTTTGGTTGTTACCGAGAAAACAGGTTTGAAGGGTGGCAACCAGAGAAAATCAATCTTGAGATAAACACTTTTTTCTTTTTCTCTATTG